AAGATTGAATGTACTTGTTGAAAAATATCAATATGAGATACCAATTCTGTATGAAAAACAACATGATTATTCATTTGATTCAATTGCTTCTTCATATCTTCGATTTCATTATTTGGATGAAAACAAATAATAATGATTTGTTCATCATTATCGTCTTCTGGGAAAGATCTTTTTACGATCATTGGAATTTCACTTGATAATTTTCTTGTTTTCATTTATGTTATATCAACAGTAAACGATTGATTTTTTCTCAATAAAAATATAATGACGCATGGAAAAAAGAACGGTGGAAATTTCATGAGGTAAACAGAAAATCTGAAGAAAGTATGACATGTGTTCGATGGAGATATTTTTCTCTTCGTCTTACTTATCAACTAATTTACTTGGACGATTTATTCAAGCGTGACTCTCTATTAAAAGACTCAATTTTCTTTTTGCAATAATCACGAATAAATTTATGAATACTTATTTCTTACTGGTACACAACAAAATGGCGTCATATCGTATTCTATATGAGACTGTGGATGTAAAGACAAAATTCAATATATCCATACTCACACCCTTCAACTCATTTATAATACTTGTCAAAGCTTTTGTATTCTTGATAATGGCTGAATTTAAAATATACAATTAAATGAATCTAAAAAACGTCGCTACCATCATTCAGTATTATTAAAGTAGTACTAACTTGTAAGTGTTATCATAATTTGACTACCACTTACATTCAAATATATTGTCCAGTCGATTTTATACTATTATCATGACGAAAATTATGAATGAGACTATCGTAATGTCAGTGCTTGCATTCACTACCTTTTTTTGTATCTCTATCAGTGATGAAAGTCTTTCAAACTATGCACTTGTAATCGGTACCGAAAAAAGCAAAAAACTTGAATGAATGTAACGAGAGTGTGGTTTTCTTTTTCAACCGCATTCATACACAAACCCACGCCCACACTCTCAAAGTAAAAACAATTAATCTTCTTCACATGTAAAAATGTATCTACCAATAAGAAAGATAACATTGAAAGAAAAGATCAAAGGACATAATCTTCTTAAATTCTATAGTGACTATACTAAACCGTTCAAAACAATTCTAGTTCGATTTATTTTAGTTTCTTTTCGTGAAAAAATCGAGCATGGAAAATAAGTGATGATAGAGCTCAAGTGATGACAATGCGTTGTACGAGACTAACAGATGCAGGAGATGAAGCGCCTAAGTCTTCAAAAATTGTGAGCAAATTGTTCTTAGGCATCAACCAATCAGATGGAATATGATAGTAACGTTGACTTGGTTGTCCACAACGGATTTCACGTTGTAGACAGCAACATGGTACTGAAATTTGACAGCTACCTTCAATTAACCAGTAGAGACCAATATCGTTTCCATTAACAAAAGCATGGCCACGATTGAGACCAGTTGCGTCGAGTAAAACTGGATTAGCATTGAGATCTTCTCGTGCAAGATGATTGAGATCAAAACGAGTCTGAAACCAGGTTACGGACTTGTTAACAGCCGTCGTCCATTTCGGATTCCATTCAACTGTTTTTGAACCTTGCTCAGTATAAATCTGACGAGCTTCGCCAAATAAACCTTTTTGATGTTCCCAAACATTTGTCTCGTTGCCAATCAATGACTGTCCATCGAGCGATACATTTCCCACAATACCTTTGTAATCAAAATGACCTGGTCCGATATTAAAGTTGTCAATTCCAAGAGAAACAGAAAGGATCTCAAAGAGATACTGTTGATTTGGATGAAACTGTGAAAGATTGAGTGGAATATCAACTGTAATTGTGCCTTGTGCATGTTCAGAATTATCAAAATTACCCAAGAATTGTCCGTCTAGGAAAAAAAGTAAACTGTTTGCTCGACGCGTTTGTACTTGAACGATTGTGTGTGCAGATGGTTGAGAAAGTGAAACATTACGACGATACCAGAGATAGATCGTTTCGTCATTAGTTAAATTAAGTTGCTCTAGAGGATTCGAGGCGGTGATTTTAGGTAAGTTAGTCTGAGATGGTTCTACAAAGTATTGCCAATCAAGTGAGCCAGTGACAACAGGTACAATAACCGTGTTATTACTATTGATATTACTCATATTGGCACTGTTCCATAGTAGATGCTGATTATAATCATAGATTTGAACAGACTGAAGGGACATGGAAATATTCTGATTGTTGAAAAGAACAAACAGTTGTTCTTTAGCTTGGTTGATAAGGAAATGAACTGATGGAGGGTATGAGTAGACAAATTGTTGAGTACCTATTGCCCATTGTTTTCCATCCCAGTAGGGTACTGGCGATCGAACAGAATCTTGACTCAATATTACTTGCGCATGTTCAGTGACAAGATGTTGAAGGCGACCTAAATGAGTATATTTCGGCTCGTTCGGTGTACCATCGGCACGGAGATGAACGTCATCCGAGTACGCAGTCGTCAGGCCTGATCCACCTGTTCGTCCGTAATGGTTACCACCATGCCACATATAGTACGATAGATAAGCACCACCGCCAGCAAACCATTCACCAGCCGAATAAGAAAGATCTTGAGGTGTTCGGATTCCTAATGCTTGACCCCATGGTTGAAACCAGCCCCAGTTTTCTGTGTAAAGCATTGGTTGATCAGGATGATCACGACGATGTTGATCCATCCAACCGTCATCAAAACAGTTACACCCATTGCACGTTTCAATCGTCGAATTAGCTGCATGACCATTACACATTATCCAAGGAATTTGTGTTGAGGCAAAATCGTTAGTCACCAAACTACCACACCAATCGACATAGGCCATATCATCTCCATCGTATTCATTTTCAATTTGAGCAAGAATTATTGGTCCACCATTTTTAGCAAGAAATGGATCAACATACGTAACGATGTCTGACACGAATCGTTTCATTTCTCTTTTCCATGCTTCATTGTTTGAACGAAACGCAATATCAGGGACGTTATTTAGCCAGACAGGTAAGAGACTGTTCAAGTATTACGTTATATAAGAAATTTTTTTACTGTAGTGCTATGAATGATCGAACTTTGGTATTATTTAGTATTATTTTTGCAATTTATATTTATTTATTGTTTTTGTTTGAATCACTTAATTGTAAACTAGTATGTGAAAATAAATATATGTACGAAACAATTAATTTAGCTTTTAACTTTACCAAATACTTATGTAATAAGAAAAAATATTATAAAGATTACGTTATCAAGGGAAACCACCATAGTCCCATTCAGCACATACATAGGGACCAATTCGTAAATTAACGAACAATCCTGCGTTAGCTGCATCTTGAAGAAATTGACTTAAATTCGCGCGACCACTAAAATCATAGGTGCCACGTTTTTGTTCGTGTATATTCCAGAATACATAAGTTTGCACTGTATTAAGACCATTTTGTTTTGCCATGGACATTATGTAGGGCCACATGCCAGGTATTGATTGTGATCGCTCGGTGATCATACGATACTTTGTAGGATATGCCTCGAACTTGATCATAAGTTATTGGGCTTGCAATAATGTTAGCCCACCCTAAAACTCCAAGATAAAACACAGTTAACAGTTGCATCTCAGTTACAATAATGATATACGAAATAAACAGTAGATGTAAATCTTATTCTTTTTTTTTTATCTTTCCATCGAAGCACATGGAAAAAAGGGGGAGACCAGTTCTTCACACAATGTAAGTGAGTGAGATAAGAAAGCAATAGATAATTTGCTTCAAGATGTGACTAAACTCCTAGTGAATATATTTAATTTTTATAATATAAATGTCAGAAATACCACTTCAAATAAAATTACAAATACATTTATGATTATTATAAAAAAATTAATTAAATTATTATATAGTTTGTCTATGGTACGATCGGCATGTCTTCATAGTTTTCATGTATAGTCAATTTTTCACAAACGTCCTTGATTACTTCTTTATACCGTTGTTTTTCACATTATATATGCTCTTACAAGAATTTTTACATACGCCAATTTCGTATGTCCGTAGTTGATTGATGATGACTTAAAAAAGAAGAAAAGCATATAAACAAAGGAAAGGAGAAAGTAAAACTTAATAACGACACAAATAAAAAAATGGAACAAACTAACGTTAATGATTTCTTGAATTTTAGAAAATAAAGTTATGAATAAATATTGTTCTTTACTTTCTTGTCTTAAATCCTGTTTCATTTCTATTCACTTCCGGATCTCCTTTTTCGGACAATTTTAATCTTCCATAAAAAGAGCTATTGTAAAGTACATTTATGAAGTCAAATTCAAAGTCATAGATTTTAAAGGAAACTAAATGAAACAAGTAAGTAAATACAAGAATAGGTGGAAAGAAAGAAAAATATATAGAAGAATAAAATCGTTAGTTTCATTTCATTTCGACTTCTTTAATCGAGTAAATTAAGTGAGTGACGACAGATTGTATCGAAAATTAATATTTTGATTATGGTAATGTTCAAAATAAAGAAAGTCAAAGTAGTATTGACAAATGTATTTTTATATAATTTCATCTTTGAAAAAAAAGTACAACAAATAATTATATTCACATCTTTCATACCCGATAAGTGCAATCAAATAAAAATAAATTACATTATTCTTCTATCCTATCAGATTATTGATCGAAT